GGGGGGGGAAACGATTCCCCCAATCCACAATACAGCAGTAAAGGACGACTGTGCAGATGCAGTTTTTCTGTTTAAATGAAACACCCCGTGGGAATCAAAACATTATTAGGACTGGGAGCTTTTACTGTGCACCCGTGCGGCATAATCCGTTTGCAGAATCGGGCAGCATTCTACAGCAGTGCGCTCGAGGAGCATTCAGGAGAACTTAGCACATACTGTGTACTGACACTTGCACACAACGCCTACTGCAAAATATTAGCAACATATTTATTTTCATCTCCCTTTTTATCACTTGTGGAAGAGAAAACTGTTGGTAAATGGCTCTCACAAGATTATAATCCAAATATCGAAAGCCTTGCATTTCATGCAGTTCCATTCACATTGGGAGGACATCTCAAAGCGCTTTGCAAGATGTGCTATTATCATTTTCTACATGGGTTTCGGCTTCTCGCTTTAACACTTCTTTATTTCTCAGGAGCAATTTGGATTCTTTTGTCTTTGGTCAGACGGGTGTCTGACACATGCGGAAACCCATCACCATGCTTAAGAAACCATGCCAAACCAAACTGAGAATTTCATGCATCGCACCTACTCGTGGACATTTCAGAGATAGATTGTTGGAATGGAATGCGCACTCTCCACCTGGAGGGGTGCATCCTGCTTACCGAATTCCAGAAAGTATTAGGTGCAGGTTGGCAAAAGTCAAAACGTAAACATATGAAACGCGAGAAATTGATCCCCCCTTCCTATTGCACGACTATAATATTAAAAGCTGAAATAACCGCTGTTGTAGTTATTACTGCAGCTGCTCAGGGGAGCTATTCAGATGCTTCATTTATGGAAAGTTAATAGATTAAAAAAAGCCAAATTGGGTCTCATGATAAAAGGCTAATCAAGTTATAATCTGCATAATTTTCACATAAGCATCGGTGCGAAATTTGCATAATTTATGTTGCAGCAGATACTGATGAGATATTAAAAAGTATTTAATCCAGTCGTTGACTTTTATTCATCATGATGTTCACTGACGACTGCTGCATCGCACGATTGTTTTAGTTCACTCTCTGCCAAGCAACAAGCTGTGATTACTATGCAGAAATAGGTCAGCTTGATCTGCAGACCCCATAAAAGTGCTCTGAGGGTCCATCAAATGTCTTTAATTCAATCCCTATTAGCTCTTGAAGATGACTCATAATCCCAAACAATGGCGGAGGAGTGTAGTCTGAAGAATAGCACTTAGACTTCCATTACGTGCAGGCTTAACTATGCTAACTCCCTGCTCGCTAGGTTTCCCAACTCTTCCCTCCACAAGCTGCACATTACTCATAACTCTGTAGCTCGTGTCCTCTCTTGCACTAAGCTTCGTGAACCAATCACTCCCATCCTTACCCCTGGCTTCATTTGCTCCTTATCCTAAGAGAATCAAGTTCAAAATCCTCATCCTCCAAGGTCTTGTTCCGCCACCGCCCCCCCCCCGCCATCTCTACTAAAATGTTACCAGCTCTCTCAGCTTGGAAGGCACTGGCCTGCTCCAAGTCCCACACCCTTCCCACTACACAATTGGTGGTCAGGCCTCTAGCCTTTCTTCTCTCAGTTTCTGGAACTCCAAACAGGAGCCCCACTACCACACTCCTCCGCCTTGGCTGCTTCAAGGCCTGTCTCACACCTTTGATCATTCTCTCAGAATATGAACTGCAGTGCTATTGTAAATTAAAAGGTAATCTTTATGGTAGGCTGCCCAAGTGCTGGTAAAAATTGGTCAATTGTTTGTATTTATCTTAGTTTCATGGATCAAACAGTTGACTGACTGAACATGTTTTCAAGGTGGGGAAAGGCTTTGGCACTAGCCATTATTTGCAATCAAAGAACTAATAAAAAGAAGCTCATTGTAACAACGTTTCTGGGGAACAAACATAGCTTATTTTTGCAAAATTTACTTTTGGTCTTTGGAATCGTTTGGTTTCCGACTATTGTCTTCTAAGTTGTGCGCTCCACCAAGTTGGGTGAGTGATGTGCCAGAGATGGTGGTAATGAATCAAGATAGATTTTGGTCTTTAACCTTCCTGCCCCCTCCTTCCCCACCCCCCCCCACCCCCCCACCCGCCCCACCGCTACAAAATGAATTTAAGTGATAATCAAGTTTAAAAAAATTGACAAGACGATGCGTGATTTGAATAAGGAAAAGTCACGGTCTACCAAATGTTAGTACTTCAATGGTTGTTTGAAGAAATACGACAGTTGATTGTAAGAAAGGATTTAAAGAATTGATACAAAATAAGGTAGGCCTAGCAGGTGAGGGAATCTATAGCTATTTCCTTTCAAGTGCGTACTGGTTAGTCCAAGATCCTGGTCCTCATATACAGAGTCCTCCGTGGCTTCACCCCACCCTATCTCTGTGACCTTCTAACCCCCATCCTCCCGACGTGAAAGGCGCTATACAGATGTAATCTTGTTGTTGTTGTTAGAGCAGTCACCTCACAAGCAAGACGACCCTGGCAGGTTAAACCTTAAGCCAGTTTCCTTACTCCACATACCTAACAGTAAGTAGGAACCCAGTTATTAGTGGATAGTTGACTGGTGGATCGTTTTCCAGGGGTAATAATCTCTTCAAATAATTAATTAATTAATTTAATAATAATAGTAATAATTTGGTAACTTAATGTACTACTTTGTGGGACACTTCTATGCGCAATTGGCTGCTGCATTTCGCCCACAAAATATACAGTGAATACACTTTACAGTAGATTCAGCAAAGCGCTTTGAGATGTCTGAACAATGTTATATGATATAGCTCAAATGCAAGGATTATTATTATTATTATGAAATGAGGTGTTCCACATATTTTCTTTATTTGAGGTCCAAATAGAGAAAGCACAATATATTTTGTTTTAAAGTTTAAAAGCTGTTGTTTTGAGGCTGCTGGTTCAGAAAGGTCAGCCGGGTTTTATGGTGTCAGCAATAACTAATGGCCTGAAGCCTTCTACACTATGTATTATGTATACAACATTATTGGCTTTAGGTGTTTACTTGCCAACTTGAAGAAAAATGTAAAATGTCAAGTTGCGTGACTTCAAAGAACTAGCACATTAATGGGAAGGAGGGTTGGAGTGCGTGTGAGGTTAAGTCTTTGAATGTTACTGATCAAAGAGTTTACGATTGCCACGTGGTACTCACATGGACAGGATGTAAAATTGATGTCTACAATATGATGGAAAAGTGTAAATACCCAATAAGTAGCAAGTGACCGTGATGGATGAAATGATTTCAGCTTGCTGCCCAGTGGGCCTTTCTGTGAAACATTAACGCGAGCCCTGAAGTGAAACTGCGTTTGTGTCCGGAGATTTATGATTGGTATTTGTACACAGAGATGAGGAAGGAGGAAAGCTCAGGAGCTGATTTCTTTGCACATTTTTTTACGTTGATTTTTCATCGACTGTACAGGGCGTAACCTGGCCATTGGGTCCCATGAGTCTGCACCAAGATATTTACTCCACTCCAGTCTCCACCCGTTCCTTACTCCCTCGTATTCCGTTCTCCCTCGCACATATATCTAGCTTCCTCTTAAATGCATCTATACTGTGCGATCGGATTGGTGCTTGGAGCAGCAGTGTGTTGTGCACTCTCACTACCTTCTACATGAACAGTTCTTCTTTATTATGGACTCCATGGGGGAGGGGGCAGCTTATTTATGCTAACCTTATGGAAGCATTTTATAATGTGAACACTTCTATTTAAGTCCCCTCTAAAACATCTCTTCCCCGGCAAAAAAAGGCCTAACCTATTGCAGTCTATCCCGATGGCAATAACCTGCCAGCACTGGTATCATGCCAGTCAGCCTAAGCACTTTACTCTTTCTATCGCTGCTCAATCCTTCTTTTAGTGCAGTGAGTGGAATTGGACTCCAAACCAAGGAATTACACAAATTCCCCTATGCTTCAAGCCAACATCGCTACCTTTAGGCATTTGTGGGTCTGAATCCTCGGATCTCTTTGTTGATCTATGCCTCTTCGGTTCCTAACTTCAATTGAATTTTATCATAATTGTGCGCTTTGAATGTAAGACGTCGGCATTTTTCTTTGTACTGTAACGGCTTACTCTAAAACTCCCTGCAGGGCCGCTTGCATAGATTTTATTTCTCTTAGACACATGTTGCCTCAGAGAGTTATGTAGGTAAGTTTACGATAATGGCTCGGTTTGCAGTCTTTTGATTGTTTTACCTTATAGAAACGAGTCTAACAGCTTCATTGTTAAGCACCACATGCACGTCCCTTACGCTGTGCTCAGATTATTGAAAGGTGTGTGATACGTGTAACAGGCGCTGTTTGAGCGTTGCTTTGGTTCGAGTCTCTCTAAAGAAACTTCTTTTAAAAGTCAACGAAACAGAAATGTTACGATACTCTCTTGCAGCTTGCCAAGAACTCCAGAGCGAGCGTTGGGTTACTGCAGGAGTCTAACCAGTTATATATATATATATAGGTAGATATACGTGCACACTCGCTTTGTGGAGAGTGCACGTGTGTGGATGTGATAAGTTATGAGATATTGGCTGCCCAGGATGCAGTTGCGCAGCAGCTTAATTGAATCGCAGTTTGACTTCAGGTCGCATCTGATCTGAATCATTGCAAAGTGCAATGTAACAGCAGCATCGGGAAGCGGGTGTGGGTGACACAGGCGGGTTCCACGTCAGGGTGTATTGTAGCCTGCAGCACAGTATCTTCTCAAACTGAGTCACGAGAAACTTTACAGGAACATTTCTGAAGTACGTTTGCTCCTGATGTACCTCCTCATGGACTATGCTGGCTTGATTGTTCTTATGACACTCTGAAGCGATTGATTGTGATTTGCGTCTCTCTCCACTGATACTTTCTCCACAAGGGAGTGAGTGTGGCCGAGGGGATGGTCACGAACACTGTTCACTGTTGTGTTTACGAGTGAGAACGATTAACGGGATCAGACGCGGACTGTTTTTTCTGACTTGGAGCTGTTTCTTCACCGCACAGGGTTCACACCCCCAGGGATGGATCGAGCATCTCCTGACAACAGTCCTGTCCATGGTATTGTCCGACAGACCTCCATCACCACAGGGGCCAACATCCCGATCATCACTGAGCTAGGTAAGAGCACTCATCCCTCAGGTTGGTGGCTAATGCCTTTTCTTCCAGTGGAAACACAGCAGCACGATGCGCAGCACTTGTCGGTCATGCTGGGGGGAGAGGGGCCTTTGAGCCGAGGACATCCTTCCAAGTGAAAGGCGCTCAAATTCCAAATGTTGACTACCAAACACCAAAAAAAAAGGACTCGTAGGTGAAAATAAGATTTCGAATTATGCAATCCGAATAGGTTGATTGGCATGTACGTGTGCTGTGAATGATCACTTTGGCTGATCACTGTAACCAAGCTTACGACACCTTAAAAAATGTCTTTCTTCTGGGGATGTTTGGGAGACACCTTGCTGGGAGTCGTGCAAAGGCACGTGCACAATCCTCCATTCTTTAGGTAATGTAAACCGCTGAAAGCGTAGAGGTCAAACATATCAATTGGCCAGAGGGTCAAACAGCTTGATGCTGTGCATGGTGAGAGGAGGGTGAGGCAGGTATTCTGGGAAGATGAGATCGGACAGGCCGAGGGACCGTCTGGTATATTGTTGAGCGCTACATTTTTGTGAACATTACTGCTAAATGGATACAGATTGCAATCTTGAAATCTCCCCGCTGGCTGTTTTAGCGGAAAGATGATTTGATTGGTTTTGTACCTTTAACATAAAAGAAAGTGTTTGTTTTGCTCGAGTTTGAAAAGTATTTTCGAATGCTGCAGCCTATGGGTTTGTGTGAGCAGCTCTTGAGGTGTTCGCCAGTTATCCTTCCGACTCCACCTGCGGTGCGTGACCAGAATCGCCTTTCTCTTCTTCCACCTCTGCCACGTCGGCCTTATCTTACTTCAAATGCTGCTGACATACTCGATCATTCCGCTTTTGTCAATGTTTTGTGCTTTCCTCGCCAGTGTCCCCGGCTCCGCTATAAACAAAGTCTAGATCATACAGAATTCTTCCGCCCGTGTCTTCACCCGCACCAGTCTCCATCGGCCCAGTTTTTCCTCGGCTCCATTAGCTCCGCGTTGCAGAACACACCAATTTCAAGATGATCACCTGACACCCTGGCATCTCACGACCTCTCTGATCTGCTCACACCCCACTACACCCTGCCATCTTTGGTCAGCTTGTTCAGGTCTTCTTGCATGTCCCTTGTCCCTTCTGCTGCAGCTTCGACACCCCCGAATCCCTGGAACTCCCTCCAATTTTTTCGTCTTATCACTCTTTGACCTTCTTTGAATCACTCGACTTTCCTCTTCAACCGTGCTGTCGGTCATTTCCCCTCTCTTTCCAGCTCAGCATCAAACCACACCGCTGTCAAGCACTCCGACGTGCTATGTGGGTGAAGGCCGGCTATATAAATACCAGTTGTTGTTGTTTTCAGGTTGCAATCACTGTGTTTTAAGCCTGACTTATATTGCCATCGCGGCAACATGACACTGCACTGTACCAGGGGCAGTCTATAACATAATCAGTAAGTTAAGTAATGAAGAAGTAACTCACAACTGTTACTGCTTGTGGCATCTTCCACTTATGATGGTTTAGGACTTAAGTCACACCCAGTTTACACAACGGAGACATCTGTGTGCCCAAAAGATACCCTTCCCTTTCCTGTACTGTGCGTAACTGCACACTCACAATCACGTACATTCTCTGATTTCCTCCTCACGTAAAATACACTCTTTAGTTGCAATTTGTTGTTGTTGTTCAATACAAGTGGGTCTGAATCTGTGCGTAAGTCACAAATCACAAGTGGAATTCCTGCAACTCCGCTTCGTGCCGTCAATCAGCCATCTTTTCAGAGTGTTCGCACTGAGCTGTAGATTCACAATCAATGTATGATTCGTCGGTAATAGCAGCACTTGTGAGGGCAGAAAATGCCCAGTGCATGTCAGAAGAAAGACTGAATGAGAGGTGTGACCCCTAGAACTGAAGAGAGATTGTGCTCAAGGAAATTAACCACCCCGATTTGAGAATAGTGTTTCCATTTGCGAGAGACTTTTATGTACAAAAGTAACGACAGTTTGACAACTGTGTGTATAAACAGATATGAATCTCTCAGATTATGGAGGCTTCGTAGCATTGCTTAATGACTGAGCAACACAAGTAAACCGTAACTATTAGTACGGTGGACCGGACCCCCAATTGCAAGGTAATTTCCTCCCTTCCACCCTCCACTTCACTTCCTCTCTCCCAAAGAGATATGAAAACGTCAGAAAGTACAGATGTACCTGCTATATTTCTGCAGTTCCGAAGAGAAAGTGACGTCTGTATCAACTGCTGCGATTTCTGTTAGGGCTTGTGTGTGTGTTGTTTTTACTGATGTTATAGAACTGATGGTGGTCATTTTCATAAGAATAACTTGTTGGAAGTTTCTTTTCTAAAGGCAACCAGAATGTTCAGTAAAAGTAACGGTATAGTTTTTATTCCTCAAAAAAGCTTAACTAAAAGGTTCAAAACGCACACTTTAGCAGGCACCTTTATGCTTGTTGAAGCTTATTCTCCTCCTGGCCTACTCCTCCACTCAGTGAGATGGCCTTTGGTTCCTTTACCCCGAACTCACTCCCTCCAGCTCCCACCCTCCCTCCTCTTGCACTGTATCTCCTCTTTCTGTCTCCAAGTGCCACCTCAAATCCAACTTGTTTGAAAGTGCCATGGGTCACATCCTTCTCCTGCCCCACAGAGCGCTCTGAGACACAACCCAAAGTAAAGGGCGTTGCATAAATGCAAGTTGTTGTCCTTTTTTTTAAAAAGTGCGATGCACGTGGCGATTTAATTGTGAAATGCCCTGCTTTGAAAATGGTTATTTCCGGTTGTAATGAATATTGAGTAACCTAGCTTTCTCTCTTTCTCTTTGTCCTTTTTTGAAGTGTGACCTGTCTTTTTCTCTCTTTCATTTATCTATGTGTTCTCCTGTTTACCAATTCTTGTTCATCATTAGTTAAACCTGGCAAATTGCTCCCTTTGGTTTCATTCAGTCAGGAAAAAAACAGTGGAACCAACGTTGCCATGATAACCGAACTGGGTAAGCAGCGACTTTGTCCTTTCTTCACAGCCTCACTCTTCCCCCTTCATCAGCTCGTTTTGATTTGGCGGAGAGAGGTTGTGTTCCACACGGCACCACTTCCAGTGTCTGTTTTTTGTCCCTGGTTACAGTTCGACTTGGCTGTGTCGGTTGTGTCCTCCGTAATTTTTATTTTTCTCTTTCTCTATGCAACGATTACTTTTACAGAGCATCCCTTGACTTTTGACCTCACCGCTCTGTCTTTTGCAATTGTTTCCATAGCATTTGCACGCAGTTAATTTCTCTGGCTTGTGTCTTCTCATTAGCCTCTGTCGTGGTGATTCGCAGTTCTCTCCGCATCTCTCACTGGGGAGTCTGAGAAGTGGGTGGTGGTAGGAAGGGAGGAGTGGTGTGGGGTTTGTGTTTTGCCCTTGGGCAGTTGGAATGGAAACAAGGCTTCAGATACAAGCTTCTTTGAAATGTTTGGTTTCATTTGACTTGCTCTCTGAAGCAAGGATCCAGGTACAGGGGAAAAAAGTAACGTCCGAGCGGTCGCCATGGTTTCTACCAGCACCGGAATGTGGAGTGTAACTTAAGTAAAGGAATTGCGAGACGGCTGCCTCTGAAGGCCGCTATCGAGTGTTTGACGCGTGCTAATTTATTGATCTCTTTGGTCTCTCTTTAGTGAATGACTCCAATGTTCAGTTCTTGGACCAAGATGACGATGATGACCCAGACACGGAGCTGTACCTGACGCAGCCATTTGCATGCGGGACGGCGTTTGCCGTCAGTGTGTTGGACTCGCTGATGAGCGCTGTGAGTGAAGTGGGACGAATTTGTTCCTTCTCCCCCTTGCCCGCACCATTGTAAAGTTAGAGCCGCCCTCATAAATCGCAAGTGGTAGAGCCTCCGACCGGTCTTTTGAAAGCCAAAGCTCAGTGCTGTCTGCTCGAGCCTTCAGGCGTTCAAAGGTCACAGTCGAAGCGATGAGATTAAATGGGCCTAAGGGGCTTCTTCATCCGGAACTATCTTACAAAGTTGTATGTACTCCATTAAATTGACGGGAGGCAAGGAGGACAAGAGGCTTCCGTCTTGTCTGTTTTCAGCTGCGGAAAGTTGGCGCTTCTCCAAGCCTTGATGTCTGACAAGCGGCTGGTCAGAACGTCGGTAGCAATGGGATCCCGACTAGAGGATGAAAAATAGATCTGAGTGTCAACCGCATTCTTTCGGAAGTTGATCCTGTGTCTGCAGACTATATAAGGAGTGGAATGAGAATAGAAGCTCGGATACACTACAGGTGACCTTGCGGGGTGGGTGACAAAATGAAACGGTGACGGTGGATCAAGAAGGACTCGAACAAGGAGAGGGCGTCCCAGTGAAGCAGATGAGGGAGTAGTGGCGGATGAGGCAGGGATGCAAATGAGGTAGGAGAGGCAGATGAGGAAGGAGAGGTGGTTGAGGAGGATGGCTCAGTCTCTCAAGAGGGATGCTAAAGGAAAGGAGAATACGAGGTTGGTGAGGAAATTGTTCATTGAAGCTGCTTAGTTTGCGAGTTTGCACTCGAAAAGCTGGACTCAGTCAAGTGCACCTGTGACCTCTTTGGAGGCTTTTCTGTGAATATAAGGCTAAACAGCTTCAGAATGCTTCTCTATAGCAGTGGCTGCCGTCACTGCTAGGTTCAGCGTTTAATCATTTGTCGCGAGAAATGTGAACTTGAGTAATGTAGCGTGCAGCGAAAATGGAACGCCGGCATGAGATGCAAATTTAAGTTGAATCCAAGTTGCACTAATCGGTGAAAGTTTATAAATGAATCTGTCAGATTGATCAGACAGTCCGATTTGCTGTAGGATCAGCAAAGCGAAGTTTCTGTCAACACACTTTTCACATGCATTGCCATCAAATGGAGCTGTACTGAGCACATTATATGACTTAACAAGGTCAGTGCTGTACCAAGCTCCCCAAATGACAGTCTTTGAAAGCTATGTGGGCCCATGGGTAGGCACTGGAGTTGTGCGCTTTTTGTTGTCTGATGTCTAAAAGGTGCCAGTGGGAAAGAGATGAATTTCTTGGTTATGAAACACTCCACTGGTTTCGATGTCTCAATTTGGCTTGTTTTTTTTCCATGTTGGACAAAAGATGTTGACGGTTAATGAACGACACGCTTCTGTCATTTGGGTGGATGGCACCGTTGGAAGGCAGCTCTGCTCGATCCCTCTGCCTTTGTCAATGCAAGTTGTTGTTGCTGTTATTGTGGAGAGTCAAAATGTTGTATTGGATGACTAGTCCACTTTGTCGAATGGTTCATTGGTCTATGCCACGAGCCTTATTTTATATACTGTCAAGGAGTCTGAAATTGTGAAAAGTCCGATGAAGTTTAATTAGACTTTAACATTGCAGAAACCAAACCGCTTTTTGTCCTTCTGCTCATCAACAGTTGCCGGGTGCATTCCAGTACCTGAGCCAAGCGGGCATTCTTCACGTTTGAGCCTAAACGGTGGGTGAGACCTTCAGGCGTTCAAAGCTCACAACCGAAGCACTGCATCATAAGCTTCTCCCTGTCCTCTGGTACTTTCCCACCTCTTTAAAAACCGCTGCCATCACTCCTTAAAAATCCCTCCCTGGACCCTTCTCTACTCCCTAACTACCGCCCCATCTCCAACCTCCCCTTCCTCTCCAAGGTCCTGGAATGAGTTGTTGCTTCTCACCTTCGCTCCTTCCTCTCCTACCACTCCCTTCTCGAACCTCTCCAATCAGGCTTCTATGCCGCCCACAGCACAGAAACAGCCCTGGTCAAAGTGACATCTGCGACCAGGGCTCTCTCTGCCTCCTCGTCCTCCATCGAGGCTCGATTATGCAAACTCGCTGCTTGTCGGCCTCCCCAACTCCTCCCTCCACAGACTGAAGATCATCCAGAACTCTGCAGCCTGTGTCCTCTCCCACACTAAGATCCTGGTCCTCACCTTCAAAGCCCTCCACGGTCTTGCTCCCCCTACCTCTCCGATCTCCTAACCCCTAATCAGCCCGTTCGCTCCTTCTGCCCAGTGGGCTCCAGCCTACTTCACGTCACCCGCCTTGCTCGCCCCACTATCGGCGGGCGGGCCTTCCACCACTCTTCACCCACCCTCTGGAACTCCATCCCGCAGTCCTTCCGTCTTGCTCCCTCCCTCGCCACCTTCAAGATCCACCTCAAGACCCTCCTCTTTGACCATGCTTTTGGTCTCCCTGGTTCCCCCCTGACCTCCCACTCCCCCACCCTGGCCCCCAGCTCAGGTCTGTAACTCTGTATGTCCAGCGCCTTGGGATGTCCTCCCGACGTGAAATATAATTTCAAATATAATTTTGTTTTTGTTGTTGGCCGTCAGTTTGTTGGTTGAGGTGGGGGTGCGCTGCACTTGGACCAATTCGCTCTGGGTCGCTGCCCTGAATGAGGGGCAGTATATAAATGCAAGTTGTTGTTGTCTTTACCGAACATGCGTGCTCGTGAACCTTCCAGCACAGCTCTGTGTCTGTATAATAATTGGGACACTGTCGGGTTCTGTCCCTTCCTCTTTCCCTCCTTCTCTCCCAAACTAACCAACTGAGGGAAGTGGAGGAAAATTTTAGTGTTTTGAGGAGCGTCTGTGGAAGCCCCAATAAACTCAAGTGGGGGCTAAAAGCAAGATCACTGTACAAACAGGTGCACAGTGCGAGATTTGGCATTTTTATCGCAACGATGGGCTGGCTGAAATCAAACACACAGCTATTAGGCTTTACGGTAAATCTGGCAAAGCGTTTTGAGACGTCTCGGTGACGTGAAGGCTCTGTGTGCAACGCGAGGATTGTCTTGGTGAAACGTGGCCTGTGGAAACCTTCCTTAAAGTAACAGTCGTCTTTAGTGAGGCTGAAATGTATTCCATTGACACCGAGTAAATATTTATAAGACCGATTGTTTACCTGACGGGAACAAACGGTTATAGCTGGTGGCAGGCTGTCATCTTGAAGTAGCTATGCACCTAATAAAGTGTGCTTAGCAGTGAAGTGGAGTGTTTTAAACAAGACCACCCGGGACTTGGAGCTCATCAGCCATTTATTTTTTAGAAAATCCAAATGTTTAATTGATACCTACTTATGTCTGAGTTCTGTCAGCTTGTGCGATAAAGCCATGGGACAACTAAGCTGTGAGAGTGTCCTGGCAATCGGGTCACGGTCGTAGGCACGAATGGATGAAGAGGAGAAACGGCACTTTATAATGTAATAATAATAATAATCATCCTTGCTTTTGATATATCATCTTGTTGAGATGTCTCAAAGTGCTTCACAGAATATATTGTGAAATGGATTGACTATATTTTGTGGGTGAAATACAGCAGTCAATTGAGCACAGATATAATGCCTTATCACATTGTCGATGCGGTGCAAATCGCTTCACAGTATATATTGTGAAGTGGTTTTGACTGTGTGTTTTGCAGGGTAAACTTTAGTTTGTGTGTGCTTTCAGTCTGTCCAGAGCTGCGTCCTTGCATCATTGGTGGCCTTGAGTCAGGCGCGAATTAATGTTGAGGGATATAGACTCTGCACGGCGGCCACTATAGCCAATTATAGAGGGAATTAACGGTTACAATTTCTGTCCTTTAGAACAAAAGTGACCCGATATTGTATGTGGAAGTAAAGATGTAGTGAAGGGAGCTAATGGGACGTACGAGTAAAAGGGAGTAATTGGAGTCTCCTGTCTGTTCACCTCTGCAGCAAAAGATGTGAAGTGACAGCGCAGCCGTTTTAACTGCAGAAAATCCGAGGGAAGAGTAATTTGAAAATCCTCGACGATGACTTTAATGGTGTTTGTTTAAAGAGTTTGTTTTATCTCCGCAGACGTACTTCAACGACAATATCCTGACTCTGATACGCACTTTAGTGACTGGGGGAGCCACTCCGGAATTGGAAGGGCTTCTGGCTGAAGAGAACGCGCTGCGAGGCGGTTACAGTACTCCGCAAACACTGGCCAACAGGGACCGATGTCGCGTTGCACAGTTGGCTTTATACGACGGCCCCTTCGCAGACCTCGGGGTAAGGCGAAAGCGTGTGTGGCTTTTCCTCGCTGTTTGGGTGTAAGAGCGAGTCATCTAAACTTCTGGGTGTCTTCCCACCATGACTGCAAATCCACCTACCAGTCACTATTGTTCTATCTTTGCATTGCTCAAATCATCCTTTTACTCCAAGATGTTGTTTGAGGCCAAGGGCAAGCCCAGGAAGCTCTTCTGCATCACACACCAGCTCCTTTGCCCACCTTCCCAAGTCCTGCCCATTCTCTCCTGCAACTCCAAATGCGAGGAGACTTCACAAGCCAGAGGATCCACTGGACTGCCTCTGCCCCTTGCTAGTGTCACCCCTTCCTCTCCCCCTTTACCGGCCTCCACCCATCCCTCCCTCTGTCCCTTCCAACCTGTCTCTCCCTCCTCCTGTTCCTCCCAGCTGATCTCCAGGCTTCACTTCATTGTAACCTGCCTTTCCTCTTCACAGTTCTGGAATGATTCGTAGCTTTCCAGCTTTGCTCTTTCCACACCCTGGACTTCCACTCTGCCTCAAGATTTTCCCCTCCACAAGCTGCAGATCATCCAGACCTTTGCAACTTGTGTCCTCTCCCATACAAACCTATTGCTCCCATCCTCGACAGGCTCCACTGGCTCCCACGATCCCACCCAGGATTGAGTTTGATCCTCATCTCCACATTTAAAGCCTTCCACATTCTTGGCCCACCTGACTTGTGCCCTTCTAAAAGCCCTATCAATACTCCTGGTCCCTCTGCTTGGTACACATCAGTCTATTTGACGTCCCCCAACCCTGCCCGCCCCACAGTTGTAAGTCAAATTTTCAGCCTTCATGACTCAACCTTCAGGAACTAAATTCCAGAGTAATTCTTGGTTACTTAATTCTAAGTTGCCCCTTCCTTCTCTCTTTTTGATGATTGTCTTAAGATCTTCCTCTTTGACAGTGGCATCAGTCAGTTCAGTACTTTACCTGACATGAAAGGAGCGATATAAAATGTCATCTGTTTTTGTTGTAAAATTTGTTGTTGTAGCATGTTGGGCTTACAAAAGTGAAGCGATAGCATCGATGTACAAATCCTCGCTCCAGGAAAGGTGTTAAGGCCTCGGAGAGGCACTGTTGATGTGCTCTGAGCCGCATTCCTTTTTTGTTGCAGGATGGAGGCTGCTATGGAGATCTGTTCTGTAAAGCCTTAAAAACGTACAACATGCTTTGCTTTGGGATTTACCGATTACGGGATGCACACATGTGTACGCCGAGCCCGTGTATTAAGAGGTAAGAGCGACAGTCTTAGTCGTTTGCATTTCTAGATGCGGCTGCAGGCGTCAGACAAGTGCGATTGTGATATATGTTCGCACGAGAAGGGTGACTCTGGCATGCCGGAGAAACATCACTAATTTTGGTGACTCTTGGTGACCCTTGGGCTCATTGCTTATGTATATCAGATGTTGTGCCGGAGCTCAATTGGGAAGAACTTTATTTGGTGAAAGTGGGTCAGGGCCACGCCACGCGAGAGATCATAGAACAACCAGAGCCGTTTGACAAGCCTTTCACCCACAAAATGTAGTCAATCCACTTTACAGTATATTCTGTGAAGCGCTTTGAGACGTCGCAGACGCATTAAGGCGCTGTATCAAATGCAAGGGTGATTATTATTAAATGAGTCACCAAACGGGAAGCAATGCATCTTGAGTTCTGCATGAGCTTGGATACCTGTACCAACAACAACAACTTGCATTTATATAGCACCCCCCCCTCACGCAGAGCAGAGTCCCAGAGCTCGAGAATGATTTTGGGCCATGCACAGGTGATGTGAATGCTGCATGTTGAGTACATTCATAGAATTAAGTTAGATGCAGGTCTTGTTACTTAGACATTTTATTTACTGTTTAGTTCAAGCAACCATCCATTTTTCCTTTTGCTTTTCAGGTATGTGATTACGAACCCACCGTACGAATTCGAGATGGTGCCCACGGATCTGATCTTCTGCCTGATGCAATTTGACCACAACGCAGGCCAGTCTCGTGTCAGCTTGTCTCACTCGTCGCATTCCTCACACTCTTCCAGTAAGAAGAGCTCGTCGGTGCACTCCACATTGCCCTCGGGCAACCGACCCAGCCGCACCAAGAGCAGGGAGTCCCGGGAAAAGCAGAAGTAGGTGGTCGCTGAGGGAAGAGCTCCTTGTAACTGGGTTACTTACAGTATTATGAGGTGTAACGATGTCTATTCATTGTATAAACTGTTTAGTACGCCTGTCGATTAGTGATTAACAAACTTTTTTGTAGCAATATGGAGGGAGTGTAAAAGGGGCAAAGCACAGGTGTTTACGTGCTTATTTTTTTATCCTTGGTGTACGTAGCGTCGAAGGAAAAAATTCTCGCTAAGTAAGGGGATGCGGTGCATAGGTTTAGGATTCAGGTAGGCTTAGTCCGCCAGCCAGGGGACAGTTTGTTTCATATCGAATCGATGCATTTTGCATCCTACCACGGCAGATGTAAGATTAGTGGAATGTTTGCGCAGAATTTGTTGTGTAAAAGGTAAAAGTGTTCTACTTTTGCATTGTATTCATTTGTTGAATTAGAAATGTTTGTATAAAGAGTGAGCGGAAAGGACGAATGAAGGAAATGTGAACGTTTCCCGGGGTCTTTTTGTGGGGATACAACGCTGTCCCTCCTTGGCGAGATGTCAGTGTTTGAAGATGGGTCGTTCTAGGAGATGACGGAGCTACCTGGTGTTTGATTGAGACGGTGCCCTATAGGTGAAGAGCAGTGTAATATTGATTTGCTTTTTTCTCTAAAGTGCTACAAGGATGACTAGAATGAGCCAAGGTACGGTAATCATGGGGGGGGGGGGGTGTATTTTATTTTTGTTTGCATGACTTGTAACACTTTTTGGGGGATGAGGTAAACCAGGGGAAAGAAAGGGAGAGTTGCAGTTTGTGTTTTAATTTTGCTTCAAAGAACTCCGTTGTCAAGTGGTGCTACTGTAATTTTTTATTTGTGTATATTTGCATGTGGCATGCCATGGACAATTATTTTTCTCTCCTAGGGCGAGATCATAGATCAGTCAGTTAGTCAGACAGACAGAGTGAGAAAATAAATTCTAAAGTATTTTAAATATAACTAATATCTTGCTGAAAATGAAACCTTACTTTTTTTCCTCTTCTTGCAGAAAAGAAATGGTTTACAGATGAAACTGAAAACACCACAAGGAACATTCAAATCAACCAATATAAATCCACCAGCAGTTTAATCCAACCCATCAGAGAAGTCGAGGATGAATGTTGAGACACAGATAGCCATTTTGCTTTCACCACATTGCAACACTAGAAGATAGAAAGAAAGACAAATAATAATACTACTAAACAGACTGATTCAATTGTCTGTCCTGTACAAAAGAGTCTGTACATATATTGTACATGGTGCATTTTGTATTTTTCGCAGATTAAAATTGTTGTATTCATGTCCAAAAAGTCAACCCTGAATGTTTTACTCACAACAAAGACATATCCTATAGAAATTACACTACTCTTTAACACATGTTACTTAAATACAAATGTTAAAATATTCAGTCAAAAAATCAAGCTACATTATTCTTTCATTAATATTTTTATTAAACTAAAAACCACAATATTCAATGCATATTTTACATCACACATTCAATGCATATTTGAATGCATTGAATATGTTATGAAAAGTTTGCAGGGTTGTGGGGAGAGAGCAGGGAAATGGGATTGATTTGGGTAGCTCTTTTCAAAGAGCCAGCACAGACACGATGGGCCAAATGGCCTCCTGTGCTGTATAATTCTGCAATGATTCTATGATATTTTACATTAAACACAACGTCAATCAACAACTTGCAATTAGATAGCACCCATTATCGGTGGTAGGGAAAATTCTAGAGTCTATAATTAGGGACGTCATCGTGGGGCACTTAGAAAGTCATAATATGATTAGGCAGAATCAACACAGTTTTATGAAAGGGAAATCGTGTTTAACAAATCTTTTAAGAGTTTTTTGAAGATGTTAGGTAGGGGGTATCCATGGCGATCCAGTGGATATAGTGTATTTGGATTTTCAGAAGGCATTTGACAAGGTGCCACATAAAAGGTTGCTACATAAGATTAGGGCTCATGGAATTAAGGGGAATATATTAGCATGGATCGAAGAGTGGTTAACAGGCAGAAAACAGAGTAGGGATAAACGGGTCTTTCTCAGATTGGTGGGTTGTGAGTGCTGCAAGGATTAGTGCTTGGACTCAACTGTTTACAGTCTACATCAATGACTTGGATGAGAAAATCAAGCTTAATTCTAAATTCGCGGACGATACAAAGCTAGGTGGGAAAGTAAGCTGTGAGAAGAACACAAAGAGGATGCAAAGGGACATAGACAGGTTAAGTGAGTGGACAAGAAGGTGACAGATGGCATATCATGGGGAAGTGTGAAGTTATTCACCTCGGTAGAAAAAATAGAAAAGCAGATTATTTTCTAGGTGGGGAGAGACTAGGTTGTGTTAGTATCCATATTGCGTGCAGTTTTGGTCTCCTATATATTCGCCTTAGAGCAACGTAGGTTCACTAGGTCCGTTCCTGGGATGAGAGAGTTGACCTACGAGGAGAGGTTGAGTAGACTTGCCCTATAGTCTGTTGAATATAGAAGAAGAATTAGAGAGGCTTTTATAGAAACCTATAAGATTCTTAAGGGTCTTGACAGGGTAGGTATTGTGAAACTATTTCCCCTGGTTGGAGAATCCAAAACTAGGGGTCATAGTCTCAAGATTAAAGGTCAGCCTTTTAGAAATGAGTTGAGAAAACATTTCTTCGGAGGCCGTGGGTATTGCTGTGGGGAGTGAGGAGGTTAGAGAGATAGGGGCGTGCCAAGGAATGGAGGGATTTAAACACTAGAATGAGGACCTTGAAGTCGATATGCTCTGTGATAGGGAGCCAGTGGAGTTTAGCAAGGACTGGAGTAATCGGGGTATGAAGTTTGGTGCGGGTGAGAATGCGGGCGGCAGAGTTTGAATGAGCTGAATTTTGTGAATCGTGGAGGAGGGGAGACCGGCGAGGAGAGTGTTAAGAGTAGTCCAGCCCGAGGTGATAAAGGCATGGACAAGGGGGTTCAGCAGCCTTTTGGGGTGAAGTATTGTCGGAGACGGGCAATGTGACGGAGGTGGAAGAAAGCGGTGCTTGTCAGGGACCGGATGTGGGGGCGGAAGGGTAACTGGGGATCGAACCTGACCCCTAAGTTGTGCATGGGTTCGGAGAGTTTTAAGGACAGGTTGGGTAGGTTAAGGAGGTCGGAACCGTGGGACAGAAGACGTCGGTGGGAGCCAGAGTATGGCTTCTGTCTTGTTGATGTTTAACTGTAGGAAATTTGCGCTCCTCCAGCTCCAGATGTCCGACAGACAAACTGACAAAACATCAGGGGACTGGGTGTCACAGCTGGGTGTGGAAAAGTAGAGTTGAGTGTCATCCGCATACATGTGGAGCGAGAGAAGGCGGGGAGGGCGGTGGGAGAGAAGGATAGAGTGGGAATAGAGGATCGAGGGGGTTGGAAGAGGTGCATTTCCAGGGGGAGCGGCTCAGATCGGCAGCCAAAACGCTTATGCAGAGACCGGGAAACCTGCCAGCGAGCGGCAGGGCCTTGAGAAACCCAGGTAAACTGAGCGATCAACGGGTCAGCATCAGCCCGCGGGCTACAGGAGACAACGTGGGGGTGGGGGAGGAAGGGGAGTGAGGGGGAGAGGTGGAATGGCGGTCATGGCTTAGGTGCCAAGGACCAGGAGGGAAGGGAGCACAAGATAATTGAAAGCACTCACCCTACCCTGGCAGATTTGAAACTGGATTAAGGGATATGGGGATAGGGCGGGTAAATGGAATTAGGTTGGAAGATCAGCCATGGTCTTATTAAATGGTAGGGCAGGCTCAAGGGGCCGAATGGCCTACTCCTACGTCTTGTGGTCTTACCCCGCCCGGACGGGTTTCAAAATGGCACCCGGAAGTGACGTTCCGCAGCAAGATTCGGCCGTTATTCAGGCAGGGGATTTTGAAATGGCCTCCTCTTGCCTGAAGCAGCTGCAGCTTCTCCTGGCCGCCGCAAGTTCCCCCCTCCCCCCCGCCTGTGGCTTTGGCACCCGCTGAACAGGCAGAGATGCGCAAGTTTCTCACCCTGCCGGCCTCCCAAATCTTTAGGCTTCGCTGCTTGCGACTCCCACTCGGTTTACCTGGGTTTTTTCGAGGCCTCCCTCCGGCTGCCAGCTGTCCAGGTCAGGCGATGGCTGTTGCAGCAATGTTGAGTCCTGTGTGATTGATTCCCTCCATAATATATCGCAAAGTGTCTCCAGCAGGATGAGACCTGATTCACGGCCGGAAGTGGTTGCTCCTAAATTCTTATCACGGTTCTTATCTCTCTTGGTTAGGGACTGAACAGCAAGTGGGAACAGCCTATTGATACTCATAATATAGTTATCCTTTGGAAATCCATTTCACATGCCCTTCGCCTCACTCTCTCCCTTGCATTCAAAATATTCAAGGCGCGTCTCAAAACCCTCCTCTTCGACTGCGCCTTCAGCCACCCTCCGACCCTTCCTGCCCTCCCCGATGCCGACCCCCAGCTTGGGTCCGAATCCCTGACTGTCCTTCCTACGTTTAAAGGAGCTATACAAATGTAATTTTGAAATTTTGTACTGTAAACACCGTTATTACGTCCATCTCTTTAAATGTCTCTTCTATGCAGAGAAGCCAATGTCAGTGTAACCTTGAGAATGTTAGAAGGTCACGTTTTGGTCTGCAACAAGCGATACCGTCGGCCTCGGTTTTCACATCGACTCTGGTGTTATGCACCAAAATGCTCAATAAATCTACACAGTTAAATGTGCGCGCTGAGCTTTCAGCAAGTGTTCAAGTAGAATTTGTATAATGCAGCAATCCAGGAAAATTGAATCTGAACAGATAAAAGTCTACTCCGACATCACAAATGGCATTGCCTGTCAGATGAAGGAAATGATGTAGCTTGAGAAAATGGATCTATGCACATACATTTAGAAAATCCACGCTGACTGCACACCAAAAATTAAATTTCTACTATGCTAGTCTTCACATCTATATTATTTGATTTTCGTCTCGGTACTATTCACTTGTCCTGTGCGTTAGGACCGGCGGCGCTGATTTCAATTCATCAAATTCACATTGAAAATATTTCTGCACATAAAAATCCAATTGTTCCTTCCTATTCCATGCAATTAATTTCCTGAACTCCTCGAATCTCGTGCACAACATTCTCACATTGACAGTTTCTAGCAGAATCCTGCTTGAACTACTTTAACTAAAATGCTTTTCGTTAAACATATCGTTTCACATCCAAAGAAATTCCAAATACTGCTCCAGCCAACCATATTTGGGCTTTTCCTTCCAGGTACCTGCACGGAAACCCCCATCTACATCTGCCTCGGATTACCTTGCATTAAATTAGCTGGCTTGATAGGACATTTGTTTTATCAAAGGCCAAAGCCCAATGGACCCACCGAATCCCAATCGGGAAAGAAAATACTTTACGTTGTAAGAAATAGCAAAGGCACATAATCCATAGGTGGGACAGTATTCGCTGAGGAAAAAAGAGCTCAAAGAGACCTCGGGGAGTGAGTTGACTCAGCACTGGATCAAAATAATAAACGCGGATGCTGGGTTACATTGTCAGTTTGGATCCATGGAAGTCACGCTCGAGCTTTACAGAGCTCTGGTCGGACCATAGAAGGACAGGTACAGTTTCGATTGCCAAGATGTAAGGGCCGGATAGTGCAGAGGAGAGCGATCCCAAGTGTCAGTTGAGTGAGTTTCAGTCCTGAAAGCAGCCCCTATAAAGATGGACAATTGAGACATTGAGAAAGGAAATCCACAACAATACTATTGGGTGCAGTAGCCTGGGGGAGGCAGGTTTCGGATCAGTTTACACTCGGCCAAAACTCCATGTATCGGTTTGTTCGTATTAAGCCGCAGGAAGTCGGTGCTCATCCAGATCTCGATGTCTGACGATTGGCTGGATTGGTGCCCTTTGATAGAGAAAGAAAAACAGATTTGGGTCCACAAATAGAGTCTGCGGATGATGTTGCCAAGAGGGAGAATGTAGATAAGGAAAAGGAGGAAGGGGAGGGGAGTTGGGGGTGGTGGTCAAGAGGCCCTGAGGTTTGCCATAGGTGATCACTCAAAACAAACGTGTCTGTGGTCCGTCTGCCATGTGACAGAGGACTGACTGCCTGTGAAATGCAACCTCTTCTCAAGACATCACTCAGAGACTGGGAAAACAATGTGCATGCTGGGGAAAAGGTCATTTATTTCCTGTCCCTTATGAGCGGAATCTTGTCATTATTATGGTACACCTCGTGCTCGTTCCCTTTGATTACCTCTCTCCTCATGGGGCTTGTAATAAAAACATCAACTGAACTTACGACTGTCACTTTGATGTATCCACCTTGTTTTGACATGAGTACTTTTACACATCTTCATCTCGTCTAATTTTTCATTACTGATATGGCAAAATCATTATTTATTATGCAAGGCAAATATTTTGCTTATGCTACACTACAGAAACCCTAATGATTAATTTAGCAAAATGAATTTCCCTTGCCATTGTCAATTTTAAATCTCTTTTAATTGCAACAAGCTGACTGGAATTTAATTAATAACCAGTAGCAATAATCATGTCTGGAGAAGATCCAAGTTTATTCCAAGCAAACATGTTACTGATGGTCTTTTATCAAACAAAATGGAGATGCTGCTAGTATTTATTAAGTGGCACATTATCAGTCAGGTTTCCTTAATTAAACACTTATAAAATCACATTACGGGTGATTTATTTTTTGATTTTGCTTCTTCTTCAAAAATATAAATGACATGATTCAAAAATAAATAAATAATGCACATTTGCGAGGGGAAATGCTGCTTATTTATATCTACTGCATGGCAGATTTGCAGCGGCAAATGGATTGGGCAGCCCTTCTTGCTCATCCTTATTATTAATCTGCACAAATAGCACCCGTCCGAAAATAACAACATCAGCGACCAATGACAAAGGGTAATAATATTAATAAGAAGAATCCTTGCATTTGATATAGTGATAGCCTTATCATGTTGTTAAGACAAGTCAAAGCACTTCATAGATATTCACTGTGTATTTTGTGGGCAAGAGGTGGCAACCAGTTGTGCACAGCAGTGTCCCACAAACAGCCATGGAGTGAGTGACCAATTTTATTTGGACGATTGTTGAACAGGACACCGGGAGAAATTCCAAATCTTTTTTGAATAGTCTCAGAGCACTAAACTACGCCAGAGCTAGGGAGAAAGGGATTGGTGGAGTTCCGAATCGTTGGAATTTTCTGAACGGTTGAGCTGGGGAGACTGGAGAGGAGACAATTGGAGAAATCAAGGCAGCGAATGACGAAAGCGTGCACACTCTTTTTCATCTCCCACCACTAGCCTCGGAAATCCCTAAGGGATTTGTCCATTTTCTTTTTCTATCTACACACTGTCAACTGTTCCGAGTAGGAAAGAGTCACCGCAGCAATTAACATGCAGCTTAAAGTTCCGCATGAAGCAAAGGGGGGGGGGGGGGGGAGGCAGAAGATGGCAGATATTAAGCAGGATACTTCAGGGGTCTGTACTGCAAACTCCCCACCCCCCTTCCTTTTGTCATTTGTGGCATATTAATGACCTGCATTCGTACACCCGGTGTAAGCTACAGATACTAAGACAGTGGTATCAGAGGAGGCAGCAAATAGGGATAGAAGTGTCAAAGAAATATCTTGTTAAATTCATTCCCTTCTTTTAATGTTAAAAAGCCTAAGATGGATACAGATTCGTAGATTCGTAGAATTGTAGATGATACAGCTCAGAAACAGGCCATTCAGCCCATCCCGTGGAGTCCTGTAGCTCAGTGGTTAGAGCACTCGCTTTGCAAGCGAGAGACCTGAGTTCAATTCCAGGCAGAGGGCGAAACCCTGGGCAAGTTTCCTAACTCCACACGCCTAATAATAATCCCTCCAAAACCAAAAACAATAATAAATTGGTCATTTTCAATCCACGACTGTTTGTGGGACATTGCTGTGCGCAATTGGCTGCCGCGTTTGCCCACAAATATACAGTCAATTCACTTTACAGTGTGTTCTCTGAAGCGCTTTGGGACGTCCTCCCGACGTGAAAAGAGCTATATCAAATGCAAGGATTATTATTATTATTATCCAGTCTGACGGATACAGAGCTTATACTCCAGCCAAGTATCTATTCCATATTCCAGCTCTTTCCCCATTTCCTTCAGCTTATTCTTCCTTAACCATCCATTTCTTTAATGCACGCACAGTTGCCGCTCCAACAACTGACTGTGGCATAGAATTCCACACTAATACTGGTTGCGAATGGCCTGTTGCTCATCCAACACTGGTCCTTCCGGCTCGTGTAATTGTAACATAATGTGATTTAATAAATGTAATGTAATAAATAAATGTAATTTTGTTGTTGTTGTGTGGTACTAGTAGCTCATCCCACCTTGGTCCTACCGGCTCGGGTGATACCATATCACTGATCCGCTTCTTTCCTCAATGTTTCATCCCTCCATTCGGTAGGTGAATGGTGTCTTCCAAAGAGAATCTGAAAGAAATAAACAATGGGGACAAGACAGTGAATCCTGCAAGATGATGGAAAAGAATTGCTGGCGATGGATTTTACTGTCACCTGGGCCAGGCAAGAAATAGATGAAAGAGGATGGATGTCAAAGGATGGACAGTGATTGCCATGAATTCGCATTCACCGGTAACTGGGTTGAGGCGCCCCGAATGGCATTTTTCGCTTAGCAACCTTACATCTGACAGAGCAAAGAGACTTCCATCCCATCAGTCTGGGGTGGATTCAAAGCGGCGTCCCAGAAGTGAAGGACATTCTGCCAAAGGGTTCCTTTGAACTCTCTATTCCTCAACAACAGGCAAGTGGTGCCCTTTTAACTAGACATCTGGAGCAACTAATTTGAAAGGAAGCTGTAGCACGGTTCACACTCTCGACAGGATTTGTACCACAAGGAGTTGTGCATTTGAAATCAGCAGCGAGACCTCTCGTCACCATCACCACTGCCTGTTAAATTATGACCGGTTGTTTCAGCGTGTCTGGGCTGTCAGGAGGCTTTAGCGAGTGGCTGCATTTGAGGGGTTTTCTAGGAGCTCGGTGTTCATGTTAGACTGTTAGGTCAACTCAATGTAAAAATTCATTTCTGTGCTCTCTATCAGAAAGCAGACGTCTGCAATGTACACTTCTGATTACACCTTTTTTTTTCCTTTCCCATTTCTGTAAAGCCTACATGCTCACACGTTAACTAATCCGAGTTAATCGTGTCACAGACCCAAGGAGCAGAAAAGTGGTCCAACAGGGAGTCGAGCACTTGTACTCACGAATAATTAGGATGAATTGAACAAACAATTTCAAGCAATTTTTTTTAGAACAAAATGGGGCTGTGTTCCTGGGTTGGGAGGGGAGAGGAGGGGAATGTGTGTGTGCAGGGCAGATTTTAAGCAATTTTCACTAGTGGCAAAAAAAACACAAAACAGCCCCCCTTTGCATCCTAAGCTAAAAAATACAAAACACCACCCCACCCCCTTACATCCTTGGTCTTCCCCTTACACTCTAAGTCAACAAAATACATAACACCCCACTCCTTACGTTCCGAGCCAAAAAAAAAACCCACTTTATGTTCCGAGTCGAAAACACACAAAACACTGTCCCCTTATGTCTCGCATAAAACATAAAACAGCCCCCCAACTTAAACCTGAGTCAATAAAACCCAAACCCCCCACCCCCACTTATGTTCCGAGCCAAAAAACACAAAGCACCCCCCTTTTACATCCTGAGTCGAAAGAACATAAAGCTCCCCCCACCCCCCCACCTTTTATGTTCCGAGTCGAAACACACAAAACACCACCACCCACCTTACATCTTGTGACAGAAAAATATATAACACCTCCCCCTTACATTCCAAGCCAGAAAAAACGAAACACCGCCCCCAGTTTTGAGTCGAAAAAACACAAAACCCCCCTCATTACGTCCTCAGTCAAAAAAACAAGCCCCCCTCCCCCCCCTTACATCCTAAGCCAAAAAAACACAAAACACCCCTCCTTATGCTGTGAGCCAAAATAAGTGACATTCCCACTTTGTGTTGTGACTCAAAAAAACACAACCCCACTCCCCCTTATGTTCCGAGCCAAAAAACACAAAACACACCCCCCTTATGTCCTGAGTCAAAAAAAAACACCCCACTTTACGCTGTGACACAAAAAAACACAACCTCCACCATCCCCTTATGTTCCGAGCCAAAAAACACAAAACACCCCACTTACGTCCTGAGTCGAAAAAACACAAAACACCCCCCACTTATGCTGTGATCCCAAATAACATGTAACACGCCCCTCCCCTTTTGCCTTTTTGAGAAAAGACACAACACACCCCCTGCGTTCTGAGCCAAAAAACACAGAAGCAGCATTGAGAGGCCAGCGGTTGCTTCTACCTGGTCCGCTTTTCGCTTTGCTAACAGCATGGGTCGACTGCTGAAGAAATCGCCATTTATTATTGTTATGGGAGGGCAATTTACTGATGGGGAATTTTGAAATTATTTCTAGTGAACTCTTGGGGCTGGTGAGGATTTTCCCCATCATATTATATGTGAAATACATGCCCTGGGTGTGTATCTTGCTGTGTCGTGTCTTGCAGCTTCTCCTGCTGCAGGGGGAGCTAAATTCACGTGGTCCAGATGATCATTGGCCCCAGCTTTGTTGCTGTTGCTTCTGTTCCCTCGTGCCAATGGGCTCGGTGTCTCCTCCAACCATTCCCACTAGCTATTTAAATCAAAAATGCTAAAAAAAATCAAAGGGACCGTCAAAGTTGATCATAGTTCTTTGTAATTGGTTGCTGTTTTTTGTGGGGGGGTGTCAAAGGGAAAGCAGACATGTGGAGAAGGGGAAGTGTGGAGACAGAGAGGATTTCTGATGGTCAGACTCCCTATTTAAATAATAATAATAATCCTTGCATTTGCTGTAGCACCTTATCATGTCATTGAGACCTCTCAAAGCACCTCACAGAATATACTGTAAAGTGAATATATCTATATATAAATTGTGGGCGAAGTGCGGCAGCCAATAGTACACAGCAGTTGGGTTACTGCAGGGAGAGAGGGCAATTATTGCGCTATGGAGACGACCGCTAGACTCCAAATGACAGTATATTTATTCATCAAAGGTGGGCAGGTGACCTCAGACTCAAAATAGATCTATTGGAATAACTGCACATAAACATCTCGCTTTTGCAACTATTCGAGACAAAAGTCTAAACCCAAAAAAACAAATGCAAAAAAAAAATTGGATTTGTGTTACATCATTAAACTTTGAATGGCGGACTTCCCTGCTTGATTGCATGTTCCTCATTAATGGTTGGCAAAGAGTGGGCCTTAAGCTATAAGCCAAGACCAAATGAGGACCAAATAGGTGCCCAAGAAGAGGGTGGATTCACGGTCAAGTTTAGCAAAGTTCATTCAAAAGATGAATAAATACAAAGAGCGGCTCGACCCAAGAAATAATCTATTTACACTGGAGAGCCAACCCACTTCAGCTCACATTCAATTTGATGTCCCCGACATTCAAAATATACTTTAACCTCAACTAGGACATACGACAGGCAAGTATCACGTTACCATGAGATGACATGTGCTGGCCAGTGATGGATGAGCATGGGCTCGATGGTGGAGAGGAATAATTCAAAACAGGCTTGGCAATATCAGACCAACTAATCCTTATTCTCAGTACGGTTTTAAATCAACTGTGCAAGATAGGGGTTTGCACAACTGTGTTTCGGTTCAAAACCTTATGTAACAAATGCGTATTGCAGCCATGGTGTACGTGGAGTTTCCTTGCTTGGCTCCATTCTCCTACTTATGAGAAAGGGTTGGAAGAAGACTGCACGATTTTAGTACAAGCCCTGTGATTGGCAGGTTGGAATAACATAACTTCCATTTGCAAGTATTAAGTGAGACCCTGGCTCACTGGTAGAAGCGTAACTTTAATATTTGCAGACTTGGACCCACACAAATGTTTTCTGAGCTTTCTCTCCTTCATCAGTCACACCTCATCAAATATGAGGCCATTGTGTAAAATAACATAATTCATAGTTAGATATAAATGTAACATATTCCATTCCAACAATCTATTACTGGAATTTCTATGTATAGGAGGTCTGCATGGAATTCTCAGTTTGGTTTGGATACTGTCAAGCATGGTGTTGGGCTGTGTCAAATACCTGGCTGCACAAATAAAAACAGATAGCGCCTTTTGCGTATGGAGGACACCCAATTGCTTTTGTATCCTGTACCTCAAAGACAGTAAAACCTTTTGCTTTCATAGTGTTAATTATTTTCCTGTTCTCTGGTAATGTATGTATATATAGATATAAAAATATATCTATATAAACACTTCACTACAGCACTTATTCTAGTCAAAAATACATTGAGGCAATTGTTCTGATAAGTCATGTCAACCTAGCAATTGGATACAGTGAGTATCCTAGTTGATACACTGATAAGAATTTCCCACTCAGCTCCTGTTAACCCTAATGGGTTGGATGGTCCTAGCTGGGCAAACAGCTGGAAGTTTGCCAGACACTGCTTTCAATGGCAAGCTATGCAGTTTTAGCTGGTTGGAATCCAGAAGTACCTCAAAGCACACTCTGTAGTACCCAAGCCTTGCCAGGCTGCACCTAATATTCACCGGAATTATGTAAGTGGAATGCGTCCCTCCAGGGAGCGAGTGCGCATTTCCATTCCAATAAATATCTTGGGAATTCCCATATATAGGTGGGATGCATGGAGCTCTCAGTTTGATTTGGAAACTCTTAAGTATGTTCCCCATGTGTCAGACACCCGGCTGCCCGCCAGAAATTATATGTTGTATAATAATAATGCTTGCATTTATGTCAGGACGACATCTCAAAGCACTTTACAGGATTTGCTGTAAAGTGTAGTGAGTGTGTATACTGTAGGCATACACAGAGGCCAATTTGCACACAGTGATGTCCCGCCTGCAGCCTTGGAGTGAAAGGCCAATTTTATTGGATGAATTTTTGGCTAGGATGCCAGGAAACACTCCCTCTGTTTTTAAAGAGCACTAAACAGACATATGGATCCTCGGTTTAACGTCTCGTCTGAAGGATGGCACGTCCTAGGCAGCAAAGGTTTTGAATCAATGTGCCTCAAGGGTAACCAGTGGTTAGAAACTATTTTACCCCACAGAGCAGGGATATGCGGAACAGCATCTTGACAAAAGCAACTGATACTATACCGACAGAAAGATGTTTTAGCTGAAATTGTACTGAATTGATCAACGCACAGAGAGGAGTTCCACAGCCCCGTTGATAATCTATTAACATTGGCAGGGATGGTGTTTAATCTAAGGCATGAGCATTGATGTTTTCTCACTTCTGCGCTTCAGTTGAGAGCAGAATGAGGTAAAAGGAGTTGGAGCTGTGAAGGATAGGGAACTGGCAGATAACAATGGTGTTGGCTGCTGTACGATTCCACCAGACTAAACAAGCTTCATGGGCCAACTGGCCAATTCTCACACTACAGATTCTAATAAATGCTATGACTAGTTGAGCCTTTAATAGGACAACCCAAGGCCAATGTACTTTTCGCTGAATTATTAATGTCTTTCTCCATAAAGGTAAATATGAAAAGTATCATAGTTAAATAAATCTGCTGTCAATTTGGTGCAACATAGTCCAAGGCACTGCTCATGTAATGAGCAACAATATTGTAGGAGCAAATCTAACAGACATTTACCCTCCCATATAGGATTGTGGAGTCCTGTAGCTCAGTGGTTGAGCACTCGCTTTGCAAGCTAGAGACCTGAGTTCAATTCCAGGCAGGGCGAAACCTTGGGAAAGTTTCCTTACTCCACACGCCTAATAATAATCCCTCCAAAAAACCAAAAACAATAATTAAATTGGTCATTTTCAATTACGACTGTTTGTGGGACATTGCTGTGCGCAATTGGCTGCCGCGTTCGCCCACAAATATACAGTCAATTCACTTTACAGTGTGTTCTGTGAAGCGCTTTGGGACGTCCTCCCGACGTGAAAAGCGCTATATCAAATGCAAGGATTATTATTATTATTATTATTATTATTTGGCAGTCCTATTCCGTCTTATCGTAATGAATCGTATTGGAGCCCTACCAAATAAGACCATAAGATGTAGGAGCAGGACTAGGCCATTCGGCCCCTCGAGACTGCCCCACTATTTAATAAGATCAGATGGCTGATCTTCTAACCTAATTCCATTTACCCGCCCTATCCCCATATCCCTTAATCCCTCTATCCTTTAGAAATCTATCAACCTCAGTCTTGAATATGTTCAAGGACTGAGCATCCACGGCCTTCTGGGGAATTCCACAAATTCACTACCCTCTGAGTGAAGAAATGTTTCCTCAACTCAGTTCGAAAAAGCTGACCCTTAATCTTGAGACTATGACCCCTAGTTTTAGATTCTCCAACCAGGGGAAACAGTCTCACGGCATCTACTCTTAAGAATCTTATGGGTTTCTATAAGATTACCTCTAATTCTTCTATATGTTAGAGATTATAGGCCTAGTTTACTCAACCTATCCTCGTAGGTCAACACCTCATTCCAGGAACCAACCTAGTGAACCTCCTTTAAGGTGAGTATGTCCTTTCTTAAATAAGGAGACCAAAACTGCACACAATATTCCAGGTGCGGCCTTATACAACTGCAGCAAGACTTCCCTACTCTTATACTCTAACCCTTTTGCAACAAACGCCAACATGGCATTAGCCTTCCTAGTTGCTTGCTGTACTTGCATACTAACCTTTTGTGACTGGTGTACAAGGACACCCAAATCCCTCTGAACACTAATACTACCTAGTTTCTCCCCCTCTAGAAAATAATCCGCTTTTCCGTTTTTACTACCTAGGTGAATAACTTCACACTTCCCCACGTTATACTCCATCTGCCACCTTCTTGCCCACTCACCTAGCCTGTCTATTTCCCTTTGCATTCTTTGTGTGTCATCCT